CAACCCATTTCTGAAGAACCTCCTACAAAACCTATTCCTACAACCAATTCTGGGGAAGTTACTAATGAACCCTTTCAAACAACCATACCAGACAATTCTGAACCTTCTTCACCAAACCCTGAAAATAATGATATCACCAATTTGGGTGATTCTGATGAAGAAACCCAACCACTCCCTGAGAATCAACCTTCTGATCTTCCCTCTCCTAACCTAGACGAAGTTATTTCTATTTTTAGAGACAATGTAGTTAGGAGATTCAAGACACTTTCTGATGAATCAAGTTCTAGTGAAAACCCTTATAATTTAGGTGCTCCCTGGAATAGATTCAATAAATGGATGTCAGTGGAGTTTCAGAAGATAAAAAATCTCTCTGTTCAGACAAAAGATTATTTTGTCCAACAAGCTGAGAAGAAATTGAAAGCTAAGAGGGAAGCTGAAGTAAAGCTAGATGCTGAAAGGGAACTAGCTGAAAGGTTGGCTAAGGAAGCTCTTGATAGAGAAGCTGAGAAGCAAGCTAAGGAAGCTTAAGATTTAGCTAAGAAGGAAGTTGAACTAAAAAATCAAGAAGATGTCCTGAGAGTTGTTGAAAACTCTACTTCTAATCCAGTACTAAAAACTTTGGAAAGCATTCAGAAGAAGCAAGAGTTGTTCAGAACAAGAACAAACAAGCAAGATGAAGTCACTTCCAGCATTCATAACGCACGTGTTCATATCCTTCAGAGGTTCCCTCCTCCTCCTCAACCTTAGACACTCCTTAGGCCACCCCTTAGTTTCCTTTGTCTTTTTGTGTTTATCTTATTTTTCTTATTTACCCTTTTGATTATGACAAAACAGGGAGTATATTAATGGAAAATTGTTTTGATAAAAATATCTTGTCTCTGAATCATAGCTCTAACATTCTAATATTTTAATTGCACATAATTTTTCTTAGATTGTTTTTCAGGAAAAAAATTAATATCTTGGCAATCAGACTCTAATTTAACCAATCATTACCACTATAATAAAGCTCTGTTATTATGGATTTAACAAGATCTTTATAATCAGGATATGGTATCCCAAATTTGATAAGATTTTTTTAAGTCTTAAATTCAGGGGGAGCTTGATAAAGGGAAGTTATTTCTAAACTTATCTCTATCATTTCCTATTGATTATCTTCTTACAAAATTGTGTCATCAAAATACATTGTTTTGTCATTATTAAAAAGGGGGAGATTGTTAGAACAAGATTTGGTTTTGCCAGATATCTCTAAGTTTAGATAATAACAAAGTAGTATTTGTGTGAGAACAATTTTGGTACTCTAACATTTGTTTTTCTGAAGAATTAATAAACATGTTCTAAATTCGATAGAGAAAGCTCTGACTCTGATAGAGACTATGTGCAACTTCATTCTGATATGACCAAAGTCGCTTTTGTGCCATAAAAGCTAGTCTACTTCTAATCTACTCACATTAAGAAAGATTCTAAGACACTATGCCAAAAAGACCTTTAGCAACGCTTTTTTTGGCCTTTAGCAGCGCTTAAAAGCGCTGCCAAAAGTGGCGCTCCTAAAGGTAAAGGCAACGCTTTTTTTAAGGAAAAAACGCTGCTAAAGGATCCCTTCAGCAACACTTTTAGCAGCGCTTTTTCACCCTATAGCAGCGCTTTAAAAGTGCTGCCTATTCCCCATTCCCCTCCCTTCAGCAACGCTTTTTAAACCCTATAGCAGCGCTCCCCCCCCTTTAGCAGCGCTTTTAAAAGCGTTGTCTTAGACCCCCCCCCCCCCCCCCTTTTTCCAACCTATAGCAGCGCTTTTTTGGCTTATCTTTGCACCCTTTAGCAGCGCTTTTTTTAAAAGCGCTGTCTATTCTTCACGATTTTTAATTTTTTTTTTAAATAATCACATTTTTTATATATTTTTCGATAAACCTGCTTATAACAATTACATTCTCTGCTTATAATTCAGGCCTTTAATTCAACAGTTTGGCCTTATATATAACAATTACTTTGGCCTTATTTATGTGTATTCATCACTTTGCCCATAACCATTTTAATACATATAAACCTGCTTAAATATATTACAACATCACAAAATACATTCAATTTACAACATCACAAATACATTCAATTTACATATAATTACAAATCTGATAACTTTACAAATAGATACGTTATACAATTCTCAACTCAAGAATAAATTGACATCAGTCCTCCTTAATTTCTTCCAATCTTGCTTTTGAGTAAGTACCGCACTTGTATTCATCAAAGTACTACATAATATAACAGAACATGCACAATTTAATTTTAAAACTAATTACTCAGATGAAATATCGGTTAATTATCAAAATGAATCATATAACTTATGAATTGATCCATACCATGATTGGAATCTCTATTTGACCTGAAAGAATAATTTCCTTCATAAAGCGCAATACAAAATATCCGTAGTCAATCCCATTGCGCTAACGAGGACACTGTAAATGGAAAAAACAAACGAACATTTATCAGTATATATAGTTTAAATAGTTTTATCAAGTAGAACCACTATAACAGTCAAACATGGGAAAATATACCTCCACTCTGATCCAGCTGATGTTGTTAGCCTTCCTTTTTGGCACTGTTGCATCTCTTTATGCTCTGAATATTTGTATAACTCTAATATAATATAAACGCATATTTAGAACGATGTCACATAATAAATAAAGATATATATAACTATTCAGAACAGTATATCTCATCACTTACGTATCAACCATGTTCTTCAGATCAGGATATTTTGTTGTATCGCCATCCAATGAATCTATATAATACACTATTTCTTTCATCGAATTAATCGTGACCAACAACCAGTGTCCACTATAAAATAAGACAACAGTTTAGACGGTAATGTTATATAGATTAATGGCAAAAATCGAATAATTATAATAAATGAATTTAGAATAAAATCTAACCCATGGCCAGTATTATATGGCAACAAGAACAACTTCTCTGTAGTCGCGGCCATAAATCTTTGGACCATGTAATCTTTGACTGTATCTGGTGTGTCCTCTATTGCCCGTGTGTTGATACAACTAACAGATAAGAATGTGAATATGGAAGTCAAATCATGCGGGACCTGTCGCACCCTAATTTTTGACCTTAAGATTCCACCTCCATGTTTTATCTTTTATTTTATCTTTATACTTTTATGCATTTATTACCACTAATCAATTTGTGCAGGTGCGATATTTTCATGTATAGATTATTATGATCAAGCATCGCAGGGACAAGACACGAATCATGGTGATTAATGCTTTTTGTGCCATCAAGTATTTGTTGCTATGAACGCAAGATAGAGTTCGAGGTTGAGGTTCTTTCAAATATGCTTCGAGGTTATTTGCAAAAGGGATTAAGGAACGGGCTTTGGTTTAAGGACCCCAAGAGATATTCGAACTTTTTATTCATACTACTTAGAGTTCAATTGGTGTTTTTCATTTGGATAAGATTGGTTTTATGTTCAAGATCAAGTCACTATTTAACTCCAAGTCATCCACCTATTTTAATAAGAAGATTAACAAGGTGTACAATGGAGAAAGTTGGATTTGATCATGAAGATCTTACTGTTTGCAGAACCAAAATGTGGTGGCCTGGACAAGAAGTTTTATGAAGGAGAACTTTTAGGTCCCTTGATCGTTTTAAAAAAGGGGCATACGAGAAATTATGGTCCTTTTAAAAAAAAAAAGGGTACATAATCAAGCATATAATTTACGGGGGATTATAACTTAGTCTATGAGTTAGATTTCTTCTAAACACAAGATGTCCTACGAATCCAACCGAGTGACTCACAAGAACTTACATTGCTGCTACTGTGAGAACAAAAAAAGGCTTCCATATATTTTAAATTAACACAAGTCATTACAAGGCATTGCAAACAAGACATGGTGCTAGAATACTAGAAATTGTTACAACTTGACTGCAGCCATTTTGGACCTCCACGCCAGGACAAGTACACCTTCTTGATCAAAACAACACCTCGATATAGAGTTGTTCTGATACAACCAGCTCTGAGCTATTTTTTCACTCCTTCGACTTGTTCGTAGCATCCGCCTTTTCGTAAAATAAAGCAGTAACGATACTTTGTCTTTGACGACCTACAAATGAGAAAGACAATTGTTAATATTTGGGACGGAACCAAAGCTCCAATCAAAGGATTGATCATGAACTCGTTTTCTTCTCGCTTTACCAGAAGGAACGATGAAGATGTCATCTAGCCAAAGTAAAGCGGTTAATTATTCCACCTTCAGTCCATACTTTTACCAATCCTCAACTTTCACACCTGCAACACATAATCAAATGCTGTTAAATTGATGTACAGTTTAAGAATAGAGAGATGAATTGAAGTTCCAGCCCTCAGTTGTAAACTCATCATCGGGCGAAAGATTCGAGGGGCCGGAAGGGCAACGGAAGCCGTCACCAACTTCCTACCAAAACATCGAACGAGTGAGTTTTGGACAAGTACGACAATCAGTTTCAGGCAGCTCTCAACAACTACAGACAACACTTTTCAAATCCCTCATCGGTTCAGACTTATAAGTCATCATCACTTCAAACCTTTCTCAGCAATGGCACAAAACCGGCAGCCTCCGAACTTAAAATTTGTTCCTGAAAAAAGAAGAGAAATGTCAGCACCACAAGTATTACAACTCTGCGGCACAAACACGCCATAACACACCGGCTGCAAATATCAGCAGGCAACTTTTGCAAACAACCGTAGCAGATATTTCCGCAATAGTAGGCTAGCATTTGTAGGCAAGTAATACCGCAACATCATCTGCAAGCATCAGTAGAGCAGCAACGTCAGCATTTTATCAGCAACAGGCATCAACAGAGCATCTGCAGGGTATACGACAATGTGAAAGTGTTCGTAACGGTAATGTTTTGAGAAATTAATTCGCGAGTAAATCCCTTCATGCCTCTAATCTCTGCCAAGCGTATACCAGAAATGAATGAGAAGGTTATATATTTGATAAACATATTCATACACCTTATCCTCCGTAATTCAAGTTCAAAGCTTCGAGTATCCTAATTACCGCTAGTAGGTTATTCATTATAACCTGTGCATCTCCTGGTTCTGCGTGTAAAGCATTCATTAAATCTGAGAAGGTTTTGTGGTGCGAACGACGAAAGGCGGTAGTACATGACAATTCTACGAACCCTCCAAGTGTTTCCGCTGCACTTGCCTTATCAAGAAACACCTTAATTGATAACATGAATTCCAAAATTAGAAGCGGCTGCAGAGCTGTAGCAACTCGAGCAATAAGGCTCACCTTCAGTTCCAGGATTAACCTGCATCATAGTAGGATAAATGAGAGAACTCTTCACGCATGGATGCTAAGGGCAAACACCAATCAGTTATGCAACACATACACAGCCACAAGCAACTTACATATGAAATCCACGGGTAGTAAGTTCAAATACATGACAGTAGCAGAACTAGAGTCACGACAACAATAACAAACTGACAATTCTGTTGATTATTTTTCTTCAAAATCCACCGACCGCAGGGCATTGAAGCAGGCATAATAGGAAGGCTAGCATAATAAAGTCATGTCAGTCGTGATCTTATGGAATTAAATTGGTCCAACTCATTCTCAAAGTTCCTGCAAATAAAGGATATAACTAGAACAAGGAAAAGATCAAACTAAGAGCGGAAATCAATCAAAATCACAGATATTGTTGACTATTAAGAACCAAATCGCAAGCATGTTTGAAGTGGAAAAGGAAGGTGTGCAAATTATGTGTTCAAGGAATTTTTATGTAAGGCCAGAATCAACGGTAATCAAACATTTCCAAAACACGAGCGCACATGTTGATACGAAGAAGGAAAGAAATCAAAAGGGATTAGACAATGTTTGAATCAAAAAAGGAAATCAAATCACAACCAGCAATTACCTTCCAAATTAAGTCCGACATTGGTTAAAGTCTCTTGAAATCTGGAGGCCTATAAGAAGATCTAGAAATCAGTTCACAAAAGAAGGGAGAACATTCACAAGAAACAAAACAAAAACTCACAGAAACCCCAAACCTCAAATCGAACCCTAAATCGTAAAAGGATTCACTTTTTTGAGCCTCGCCACGAGCCTCCACTTCCTTCCTCAGAATCCACCGCGAAATTGCAACCCAAACCTTCACCACAAATCAGCCCCCGCGGGTCCACCGCCGTCGAAGCATTTGTTGCTGCAAATCACCGTCACCCTCAAACCGCTCCATCGCGAATCATCACCCGCCATCGTTACCCCCTGGAAAAAACTATTAGGCTGTGAGATTCATTTTCTTGCTAACATTTTAACTCCTTTTATGTCTGATTTGTGTAGAAAGTCGAGATAGAAGAATAGAGAGGACGAAGGGAGAAGAGGATGAACGCGCAGATGAAAGAGAAGATAGAACGAAGAGGAGAAGGATCGAAGAAGAAGACGGAGAGCATGGTATGAAGCGCGAGATCGAGAGAGAGTTGACGGGAGAGAAGACGTGAATCGCGAAAGAGAGAATTGGGAAAATTGGGATTAGGGTTCTTTTGCTTTCCGTTTCAATTTTGCTTGTATGCTGTTGTAATCTGATGTGTGTATGTCCACCATAACCACGATGCACCCACCATTCACAACACTCAGATCTCCAACGAATCTGATCTATTGGTTCAGGTTGCACACCCACCGTATACCTTCATAACCCCACATGCACACAATCACGCGAAATTAACCTATTAACCGTTAATTAATCGTTAAATCACCCCCTAATCATCATTTGACCTTTAATTAACCACCAAACCTTAATTAATCTAATTAATTAAGATAGTCATTTTCATTTTTAACTGATAATCACCCCTTTAATCATTTTTTTAATCAATTTAGTTAATTAATTAGTAATTAGTTTCCTTAATAATCAGTTTTTTAATTAATCTAATAAACCTTTTTAATTGACTCTTTTTCTCCAATTTCAATTAAGCCATTAATTTACTTTATTTAGCCTAATCTAATTATCACCTAAGTACTAATTTTAATCAATTAAGCTCTACCTACCAATTTATTTAATCTAATCTTTTAACTCAAAACTATTTTATTTAATCAAATAACTAATTGACCCTTTTGTAGTTAACCATATTCAAACCTTTTTTATAATCTTTTATTCAATCTAATCTAAAACCAATTTATCTAATTAACTTTTATTAAATAATATAATTTTCTCTTTTAATATAATTATTTCACTTAGTTGAGTTTTTATTTAATAAAGTTTATTTAATAAAAAAAATCTATAATAAAAGACTTTTTTTTTATCTAAAATAAAATTTATCTGATAACAATAGGAACTTTTTTTAAAATCTTGTTAACCAAAGAACTCATTTTATAATGATCTATTAATTTATTTTTATAATAATACCCTTTTGTTTAACTTAACTTTTATTTTAAATAACTAACTTATCTTAAAATTAATCAACTTATAATCTAAATTCATAATTAAGGATTAATATAGCATTTTCGTACAAACCAATTCAACTTGTCCTAAAATATAATTCAACCCTTTTAAAATCAATCAACACTAATTTAATCAACGCGCGCACGATTCCATACATCTACGCCCCGATTCCGCACATTCACATTATTCACAATTTACACACTTGCACTTTAGCGCTTTCATGTGTGTGTATGTTTTACTTTATCCGCTTTTATATCCACAATTCGCACTTGCACTTTAGCGCTTTCATGCGTTCGTGTATGCTTTATTTATTTGCTTTTACTTCATTCGCAATTTACATTTACTGCATTTATTTTATCGTACCACATTCCGTCCAAAGGAAGAACTTGCACGTAACGTAAAACTTGCGCGTATGCATCCCATTTGCATCATACCCCCCCTATGATCCTTGATCCCATTCAAGTCGATCTTTTAGGACAGATCCTACCCTATAGGAAGGACCTTTATCTTTACAACTTAGAATAAACAATTCAACTTAAATCAAACTTTTCAAACACATTAGAGAATAAGATGTTAATCATCTTAAGCAAGATAAAACTCCTACCCCATAACAATTCAATCAATCAAATTGTAGGGACTTTGCCTTAAGAGAGATAGAGGCGTACTTGTTGACAATTCGAGTACTCGAGCCCTTCTCTTAAGACGATGCAAAGACTATTTTCCTACAAAGTTGTGGCGGTTAAATCAAAGTAATCTCCCTTAAAATGACAACTCATCTTTTCTCCTAAAATCAATCAATCAACCACCCTAAACCCGTAGGAACTTTGACCACAGTCAAAGAACTCCTCAAACCCTTTAGGGGAACTACAAATACTCTGATTCCACTCCCGTAAGGATATGTAGGCATAAGATGCGATATCTTATCGAGTATACTTAGAAATAAACCCCTAGGTCTTTTAACCATTAAGCAGATAAACCTTAGCGATAAAACAAACATAAAATAAGAGGTTCCTGTAGAGTACTACAGAAACTTAGGATGTTAGCACCTTCCCTAAGTTTAACCGACCCCCGAACCTATAACTCTCTAACCTTTGCATGTGCATTGCATTGTGGGAATTTCGATCTTTATCCCTTCCTTTGGACAAATCAAAGTTCGGTTGCAAATGAATAAGATTCAAACTAATCAATAGTTTGGTATCCAAATTTCACCGCGACAGAAATGGTTATATAGATTAATGGAAAAAATTGAATAATTATAATAAATGAATTTAGAATAAAATCTAACCCATGACCAGTATTATATGGAAACAAGAACAACTTCTCTGTAGTCGCGGGCATAAATCTTTGGACCATGCAATCTTTGATTGTATCTGGTGTGTGCTCTATTGCCCGTGTGTTGATACAGCTAGCAGATAAGAATGCGAATATGGAAGTCAAATCATGCGGGACCAACAACTTGTCATACAGGAGCCTAAAAGAAAAACATAATCAACATTAGAATATTCAGTTAAATGAGAAAATTTTAAAATGTTCAATTATTTAATTAAAATGGATTGGAGTACCTGATGTAGGAATGCATAACACCGACGCCCAATTCAAAATGTTGGAAAACCTGGTCAAAATCCTCCTTAGCAAGTGTTTCGGGATATTCAAAACCGAAAATATCTTCCTCCATAGGTATTTGACGGATGCCACCCTCAACCACATCTGTTGTTCCTATATATGTTTCAAGGCACATCCTAAATCAAGGAACAAATGCTCTTTTTTGACTCGGTCTTTTTTTTGTTGGGCACCTTGGAAGTTTCAGGCATCTTATCCTTGCTGACTTGTTGCAACTGCTGATCATGAACCTAAAAGTCATATATAAGTTCAGTACTTAATGTATAATAAGATAACCATGTAACTGTATTAGTACCTATTTCTTTGATGCAGCTGAATCGGTATCCCGTACAATAATTCTATCATATTTTGATTTGGATTTTGTAGGAGTCTAAGATCATCATGTAAATAAGAAAATAAGAAAATAAGAAAATGTAAATGTAAATAAGAAAATAAGAAAATCGAGGAACATTTGAATATGAGATTAGCTAGGTTCATAATTGTGTTCAACATACCTCATCATCAATGTAAATGAGATTTGCCGGCCATGCAACATACGCTCCTATTGCGTCTCCCACCACTGTTGCGTCTGAAACTTCATCTGGTATAGGCAACAACGCACCCCCTCTAACGCAATATCAACCGATACTTTTAAATATCCAGGAGGGAGCGGTTTATGATGAAGTAATTCTCCCACATTGTTATGCACCTTTCCCTTGCCAACCAAGCGATAAGTCGGTGACGATAAATATAGCCGACAAGGTGAAATGCCCTAAAAAAATAATGATGCCGATTAATGTGTCAATTAAGAAAATTGTGCTAAATTAATTAATTTCAATGTAATATATACAATTACCTCTGGAAGCTTCTGCGGACAACCGATACTATCTTTTTCACTAGCATCTTTACCCTCTGGACCGTGCCTTTCTGACATGTATCTTTCTTTGTCCTTCTGTAATTCCCGAATCTGCGCTTTCAATTCCTCCAACGTATCCATCACTTCTTTATTGCTAGGATTTTTTTTCTTTGGATTCTTATACAGCTGTGATGGAGTGACGTCAAATCCCTTACCCCTCACACGCCCAGAATACTCAGGGATATTTAACACCCAACTTAGTATGCTCCTGCAATCCTCGTCCTCAGCATGTATCTTATCATAGCTCATGCCAATAGAGCATAACATTTTTTTAGCTTCATAGGTTCGACTGGGAAGAACATTATCCTCCAGAAGCATCTCTTGAAGTAGGGCTAACAACTATGTGAAACTTTTATCCGACCATCCATTACCCGCCTTTAAGTTGTACAACTTTAATACCGCAGACAATCTTGTGAAAGTAGTGCAACCTTTATACAACGGTTTCTCTGCATCGCTTACCAAC